AGAACGCAACTTCTTGGCCTCCCAATCTGGCCAATCCTTGCTATCCCTCTCTGAGTTCACGTACTGCTGTTGTATAAATCTGCTATTCCACGCTGTCCAGCGAGCCTTCTCCTGCACGTGAACTCTCCGATAAAGTGACCATCCCAAAAGGACTCTTCTCAACCTGATACCCCGAAATACAGGAACAATAACGCCTCTGGCAAATTCGACCGTTTCAATAAACAGTAGTCTACATCGGCTATATCTGCCTCACCAAACTTGCTAATGTATTGTGTGTGCACACTGGTGTTTGAGACTATCGCACAATTCTCTCGGGCTTTGAACAAGGGCCCGAGTGGTCTGGAGGGCCATGTTAAAGCCGAGGGTAGCGAAAACCAAGATCTTGCAGCAAACGAACAGACTGCTACACACGTATCCTTCAACACAAAACACAGCAAACTTCCCAAGATTGACAGCAACCTGGCCACTTCCTCACCAGTCGCGATGACATTGACAACGTGGTGGCTATCTTTGAGATTTCGACTCCCGATGAAACAATGATCCCGGGACGAACCTGTCGTGGTACGATTGCTGTGTGTAGTTTTGCAAGGTAGATACATCTGCCAATTACAGAGATGGCTGCACACATTTTTTTACCCGTCATCTCACAGCCTCGTGTCTAGAAGGATTCGGGCTAATTTTGTAAAATCTGCAGCAGCAGCCGCAGCAGCAGCCGCAGCCGCAGTGGTACCAGTACTCGCCAGTGATAGATTCAAAGCCGTGGGCAAGACTCGAAATCGCTGAGAACGGTGACTTCGCCCCGATTGGCAGCGTGCATCCAATCTGTGCTGCTGTGGATGGATCTGCCGTAGTAACAGCGATTTACAGCAGTCAACGCAGCTGCATCACCTACAGCAGACCACACGGACTCTTGCCTTACCTACCTTTCGTCGCAGCGCGGTGAAGGCACTGCTGTGTCCATCAACGCTTGGTAGGATAGGGAAGGGAATGGAGCGCGTTTTTGTTTTGGAATTGCTGGCATTGTGAGAAGAATAAATAGTAAGGACTAGGGTAAGGTGGCCGCCCGCCGTAGGCGGCGGAACGGCCACCCGGATATACGCACGAAGAAGGCCAATGAATGATTTGTGGATGTGAAGCGCGGGAAATAGAAAGGAGGATGCAGGTTATGTCTATTAAAGGAGGATGTGTCAATGATGATACATCCCGCGGCTTTGGTCACGACTGCAATTGAAACGCAGTGACATATGAGTGGCGATGAATGTGTAATCCTCATCAATTAATGAAAAGATCATTGGAAAGTATG